TGCTGCCTGAGAGCCACCGAGCGCCGGCCGACGAGCCGTGGATAACCGGCATCTTCGGGTGCGCTGAAGACCCCGAGAGCTGTAAGTGACGTGGAATTTCCTTCTCGCCTTTGCATTTGGTCCCCCCTTCAACTGCCTAGCCGATCTAGTTCTGCTACTTCCTCCCGCTCTAGACGGGTCACACCTTCAAAATTCGTGGTAGTTTTGATGTGCCAGAGTTGGCAGGAATTTTCATGTGGATCTGCACAGGATGAGGTTGTGTTGCTGTGGTTGAGCTCAGGGTTTGTGGCTATTACACACATTGCACAACTCAGCAACTAGATGTTTGTTTCCATGGCATTGAAGTGTTACTGAAGTGTCACCGACAGAGGTTAGGTGTTTTAGTTTTAAATCCTTTAGCGATCCTGTAGCGGTCCTGCGTATTAAGCCCGTACGTCAAGTGAATCTCCCTCTAGTAAAGAAAAGAGGAATATCATGTGTGCTGGACAAGGATGGCGCATACACCTCCTATCCTCCTTTTTTTCATTTAGGCTTTTATTGTTTTCCTTTTTTGCATGTGTTTGTTACAGACTATTTTTCAGCACTAAAGGTGTTTCTTTCGAAATTTTAATTACAAATTATAACAATATTTATATTCTCATAGATCATTGTGAAATATTTCCACATTAGTTTAGTGAGCAGTTGCCTGTCAGAATTTTTGTGTTACCTCCTTTTTACGTGGTACCAGTTGAGACAGTTTTCAAACAAAGATGCTTTGCAAATCTGAATTTTCTACCTCTCTGTCATTTTTTCATTAACAACCGTGAACTTAATCAAGGAACAAACCATGGTAGACTAAACATATAGTCAATTAATTCCTTCTCATGCCTATGAGAAAGGCATGGTTGATATTTTACATTGCACATATAACTCAGTTGTAAACTGAAGCCAACCCGATGCTGATTTATGTCTTATACTACACATATAACTCAAATTTATAATGTGGAGTTGATCTGAAGCGTGTCTGCCCTACATTTAGGAGTATTTTACCTAGACTAGAGGGGTAGAGGTTCATGACTGAACAGTCCAAATTGAGTACTTCTTAATTTTTTTATAGCTTGCTTAGGAGTACTTCTTTATTTTGAAATATTAATTGTTCACATACACTTTTTTGTATCATATTGCAAGCCTTTATGGTTTGCAAATTTGAAGTTCTGTTATCTTTTTGGTCTTCTATTATCTTTGTAAAATTAGCCTGTGATGATGTGCTCATGTGGGAAGGGATTAGGCACTGGTCATTGTCTGAGAGAAATAAAGAGTAGCAGTCGTAACGTCTGGCTTCGATTATCATGTTCTTAATGTTAAAGACGACCCTTCTTTTTTCCGTATTGGAAAAGTTCTTGGTTTTGAGCCAAAGCTGGCCTTGCCAAAACATTGGCGTGCCCATGAGTTTTGGCTGTTGTTTGGTTGGACACCAAATATTTGGCTTGCCCAACCCAGCCGGCGTTTGCCCATGCTTCTCGCCAGTACGCGGGCGAGCCGTGGGGCGAATTCGTCCGCCAAAATATTGGCTGCCAGCCTGCTAGCATCCCCGCGTATTATGCTTCGGTCTTACGTGAGGCGGAAAATTAATTAGCTAGCTTGTATACGTACGCCTCCTCTGATCGTATCGATCAAGTCGGCTAGTACGTTTGTTTCACTCGGTCAAAAACCTGTACATGCTGCTTCTCTGAACTTTTCTTTACTGTTCTTTTTTCTGAATGTTTGATCATCATGATTTATGGGCTCCTTATATAAAAATTTCAAGTTCAGACCTCAGATGCTGATATTTGGCATATTAATTGGCTACAAACCAAACTGAGACCTAAACATTTTGCCAAAAAATTGGTGCGTGCTATGGCTACAATCCAAAGAACACTACCACACCAAAATTTTGGTCATGCCCTTGCTTTGGTTATGCCAAAATTTTGGCAGGGCAAGTTGGGGCACAAACCAAACAGCCCCGTACACACTTCTACAGCTGACTGTCGGTTATCATTTTAGCTCTTTTAGGCTCTTTGCAAAATCAACGTGCTGTGAGAATGTGCTCATATTGAAAAGAATTTGCAACTTCCATTGTTTCAAAGAAGCAAAAATTAGCAGTTGTGACGCTTACTTTTACTACAATGCTTTTGATCTAAAGATGTCTTTCTTCTTGATCTGTTTGAAAATTCTTGTACATGTACACTTTCCCACTATAAGTGTTAATTGTGATAAACTGTTGAGCACATAAATGACTGCGTCGTACATGGCCGAAACCTGAATGCTTAATGGAATAGCTAATTCTTTTTTCTTTCTTGACTTTCATAGGTTGGATATTTTTAAAATTCTTGTAGTGATGGATCTTGTAATATGCTCCGTTGTTCTTTATACCGTTCTTCTGAACTTGAAAACAGAGCAGCTGAATCTCTAATCACAAGAGGGACCATCTCCAGGTTTACTGAAGAGTTGCTGATATTAATCTAAGCACTAAAAGGACCACCATAAAGTTTGCGGATGTGTCTACTAATCATAATTGCTCTTAGTCTATTACTGACTTTCATTCATGGGGCCTTCTTATTCAAATTGTGTCATCATAGGGTTTGTGATGTTTGTACCTTTATGCTTCAGTCCGTGCAGTTTTCATATATATTACTGCTATATTCTGAGATACTTCTGAACCACTTACGTGTCTGATCTTCTTACTTTTTTAGGCCGGACTGGACTATTCTGCCCCTGTGTTTTGTTTGGACGAAATGTTCAGGCCCTTAGAAGATATCCCATGGACAACACCCTGCACTTGTCATGCTGTCTGTGTTGAAGGTGGCATTGCATTGGCAATCCTTACGGCTATATTCCATGGTGTTGACCCAGACACATCAGTCCTGATTGGTGAAGGCCTGGTGTTCGGTTGGTGGTTATGCTCTATATATACTGGTAATTTTCGTAAACAGCTTCAGAGGAGGTATCATCTCGAGGTACTTCTTTCTCTCTTCCACTGTTTTCTTTGTATGTGTCATGATAAATCGCATTTAGAAGAACGTCTACAAACAGTTGTATTTATTTCTACTATAAGAACTACACAATTGCATTCTCCATCTGAGATAGTTGTATCAGGTATGCAGGCGTCCAGAAGCAAACTGCATGGTTAAAGTTATGTTTTATTGGTCCTAACTAAAATAAAGTTCTGTAGTTTGGACGAGAGAGTTATGTCATCCAGCGAACTTCTGTCACTGTCATGAAATTTTTGCTTGGCATTGTCCACTGGCGGTAGCTGGTTATATCATTGAATTATCAGACCATTTCATCAACCCTGTATTGCTCATCATTGTGAGCATGGAGGGTCCTTGACCACCTTTTCACGTATAGTGTCTTTTTGTGGTCACTAATTCTAATCAGTTGTCACGTCTAGCATTTGATATGCGGGCTGGGCTTTTAGTTTCATGCATCAGTATCACGGGCCTTTCGCTAACCATCACATATTGTTCTGCTTCCACCAGAACTCTCCATGCTATCCTAGCATAGTCCACTGCTGCTTCCACTTGTGCGCAAACTGTCAGGAGCATCGTGAAAGGAAAGGCCGCCTCGCAGAAAGCAGTGCTGCTCCAATGACCATTATCAACCCACCGCCGCTGCAAGAGATGAGCATGGCCGAGAACAACGCTCCCACATCCGAGAATGAAGCGTCAAAGGCCGATCATGATGATGTGGAGATCATACCTCTCTAGGAAAGACAGCATGAGAACTGAAACTGACATGGAGTCGGCTCGCCCTTTTAGTGACTACCATATATATTCCTTAAATGACTGTCATCTGGCAGGTACCGTATGAAACATTGGGCTGATCCAGATTTTAGTTTATGACCATTACTACCTATGGCTATGATAGAATGTTGCCCGTGGGCAACATAATATATGTGTGGGTATATTTACATTTGTGAGCGGTATGTCCTATGTCCTATCCACGTTATGCATTGCATGTGTTCTCGACTTCTCTTTCACGAGAGTTAAGGCCTCCTTTGGTTCAGAGGATAGGACTAATCTTTCATGAAAGTTAAGGCCTCCTTTGGTTCAGAGGATAGGAATATCTTAGGAATAGGAAAGAGATGTCATACATCTCAATTTCTATAGGAAAAAGGGTGCTATTCGATTCGTAGGATGGAAATTTTTCCATAAGGTTTGAGCTAATTTCCTTCAGTTTTGCTAAAGCACGTCTAGATGTGCCCTAAGTATTGTACATTTAAGTTCTATGCCATTGATTTTACATGAAGATTTGTGTAGACGTGTTCTTTTGTAATTTTCTTTCTTTTTAGTTTGATTGAAGTTAGATGTGCAATAACTAAACAAACCCAATTTTCTTTTTCTTTGAAATGTGAAGGATAGAAACCAATCCTACATAGGAAATCCCTTCTTACGAACCTAAGAGCTCTAATTTTCCTATAGGAATCCACTACAAAAAGTCCTACAAATCGAGGCCTAATTAAGTACAATCCTACTATGTATATATTCTAAGGTCTGTCTACCTAATAATTGCACGTCTAACTGACTCGATCAAGTATAAAAAAGAAAAAAAAGAATGAAAAATATCCGCACGAATCACCAGGTAAATTAGACATGGCAACTATTATAGTTAATCGAAACAGATAGAGTTGTCATGCTTTTACAACTACACTTGCCATCCCGGATAACTACATCTGCCAACCAGGATGGCAACTAAATCATCATCCCACGGTGTACCTAACGTAGTTGCGTCAGGACGTGTGGGCATTTTTGCTTTGTGCCACACGCGCGAGATGAAGATGAGTAGTACTTGTTGGCATGTGGCACGAAGTAGCCGCGCCCACACATGTGGGCAATTCTAATGTCCGTCCACACACAACCCATGTGGGCAGCCTCGTGCTCACACCACACACGGTGTGTGGGCGCATATCGAATATACCACATGTGTGTGGCAGTTATCGGGGTCTAAAATCAATGACACGACCCCCTACAATCCCTACAATCCTAGATGACTTTGCTTGTCTTGGTCGACACGACCCCCTCATTACCAGCGAGCAGCAAGTACTTGTCCTTTCTCGTCAGCGCCGTCGGCGTGAACCCGAGAGCGCCGGCCAGCACGCCCTGCACCTGGTTCGCGACCTCGATGCTGCCACGCGGGTTGTCCGTGCGCACGGGCTCCAGGAAGTGGACGGAGTACTCCGGCCGTGGGTTCATCAGGAAAAAGACCGAGTCGAAGCACTTGGCGCCCGGCGACGTCGACGTGCCGTAGAACATGGTGGAGCGCTCGTCCACCGCCACGGGGCTCACCTCGTCGGCGAGCTCGGCGAACAGCGGGCTGAACCTGAGCAGGTACGGCTCGCGGCACGTCGTCCCCTCGGGGCACACCACCACGTCGCCCCGCTCCAGCAGCGACGACATGCGGCGCCGGTCCTCGTCGCGGCCGCGGGTGAGGCGCAGCAGCGGGATCGGCGAGAGCAGCTCCGACAGGGGGCTCAGGCTGTACGTCACGGCGAACACGGGCTTTCCGAGCGCGCTCGAGATGGCGATCGGGTCGAGGAGCGTGCGGTGGTTGCACGCGTAGAGCCGGCCGCCCGAGGCGCCACTCTCGCCGTTCGCGGTGGCGGGAGGGGCGCCGGTGACGCGCACCCGCACGCCGGCGAGCTCGGCGGTTGGGCCTATCAGGCGCCGCGGGAGGAGGGTGTAGATGGCGATGCGGACGACGGAGAGCACGACGGCGAAGGGGAGGTAGACGTACATGGCGAGCGCGGCCGCCGGTGTCGGCGTGAACGCCAGCCGCCCGTCGTGGAAGATCATGGGCTTCGGGTAATGGTACGTAGTGTTCTCTTCCGCTCTCTTGAGAGCAGCCCTAAGCCTCTCCGCGTACGTCTCCCCGTCGTCCATTACACCGGCGAAGTATCCGTAGCCCCCCTTGACCTCCCTGCCGATCACCGCGTCGAAACCCGCGTAATCCTTCAAGAACGCCTCAACCATCACCGTCGGGAACGACCTGCTCACCGCCGCCGCCTTCACCTCACCCGTCGCCGCCTCCCTCGCCTCCCCCAGCGCCTCCACGCGCGTCGCCTCCTTAGAGAAGTACTTGGGCAGCACGGCCCTGCCGATCCTCGCCGCCTCGTCGCGCCGCAGCCCGCAGAAGCTGACCATGACCATGGCCTCTACACACATCGCGTGCGTCATGAGGTGCAGGAACGGGTAGAGCGCGAGCAGGAGGAGGCCCCGGGCGAAGCTGCCGGCCTCGACGGCGACGAGGAAGAAAGGCGGGAACAGCGTCGCGGCCGACGGCGGTGAAGACTTGAGGAGCAGCGCGTCGACTTCGAGCACCACGGTCTTGGTGCCGTTTCCGAGCAGGCACGCGGGCGGCGCCACCGCTGGTGCTGCCGTCATCGTCGGCGTGGTCCCGCTCAACCGGAGGAGACCGGTGACGAGATTGCTCTTGACGACACGGTCGCCGGTTGACATCGCCATGGCCATGCGCGCCCGCGCACGTACCGTGATATCGCCTCAGGATTTGTCGATCTTTTCAGCGGTGCCTTGGAAACTCCTCTTCCACGAAGAGTGCAGATGCATTTATATCTGCTATACTATGAGCCTAACGAAATTCCGACTGGACTAGTACGTGCTTGCCTATTGTATTACACTTCAAATTTTAATCGCGTTCGGGAAGAACCAGGAATTGGAGTCCTGTTCAGTCGCTGTCCCGCGGGGCCCACCAAGCCAACTTGAGGGGTTCAAGGCCCAGCAGTGTTTGACTCTTTCTTCAGGTTTGATGATCTCCGCAGTTTGGGCCGTCCTTTCCTTTTGTTGGAAGCGGCCCTTCACTGCGAACAACACCTTACTTTGGCAAATCCTAAACGGCGCCTTAAGCGCCCGTTTTAGGCATAGATGCAATCGGGCGCACACCCTCCCGCCGCACTGGGCCGGCCCACTTCTTTTTTCTGTTTTTGAAAACGCAAAAAACTTTCTAGCGAGAACCATGTTTCGAACCAGGGATCTCACGACTACAGGAGCGCTTGCCAAACCACTCGGCTAACCTACCAGTTCGTGTTAACTGACAGGCTTTTAACCTTTTTCTATTTCCTCTTTTCGTGGAAAGAGTTTTTTTTTCTGTTTTTCTTTCTTTCTTCTTTTCTGCTAAGCGCGGGATTTTTTTTTGAATTTTGTAACTTTATTTCATATCAATGAACTTTCTTTCAAAATTGATGAACATTTTTCAAAATTGATGAACTATTGTCAAATTTGATGAACTTTGAAAAATGTTCAGTGTCTATAAAAAATGTTCATCATGTATAGAAATTTTGTTCAGCATGCATTCAAAAGGATTTCATCGTATTTAAAAAAAATGTTCTACGTGTATTTGAATATTGTTCACCATACATAGAATTTTCGGACACGTACTGAACATTTTGTGAAAATACGTTGAACATTTTGCGAATACACATTGAACATTGTGTAATATATACTGAACAAAATTAAGAAACATACTGAACAATTGTATACTCATTGAATAACCAAAACCAAAATAGAAAAAATCAAAAAATAAATATATATCCTGAACATTTTTATATCCATTGAACATTTTAAATAATACATGATTAACATTTTTGAAACAATATGAATATATGTGTCGAACAATTTTTGACTACGCATTCAACATTTAGTAAAAACGTTGAAAAATTTCATAATATATGATGAACATTTTTCTGATACACGACGAACATTTTTATATGCAAAGGTGAACAATTTTCATAATATACAATGAACATTTTTCTTAATACAATGAAATTTTATGTAATACACGGTGATCTTTTATAAAATTTGGTGAACGTTTTTTAATACATGAACTTTTTTCTAATTTGCGATTTTTTTAAACTTATTTAAGATTTTTTTTCTTTTCAAAAAAATTACGTCTTTCTAAATTGTTTGTACCATAAATAGTGCGGTTAGTGTTGTTGTTAAATTTCTCGCGCTGTAATGAATCACTAGCTTGTAGTAGATGTATTGGTTAGGCACGCTGCGTCGTAACTAAACGGCACGAGATCGAATCCTGTTGGAGCAGCTTTTTCGGGAGTTTTTTCTCTGCGTGTTCCTGGGCCGGCCCACCAGATAGCGCCAGTGGGCGCCAGTTGCCATAGGAGCTCCCCCTTACTTTCTCAAAACAAAATCTTCTAAAAAATACTTTCTAAAAACAAAACAAACAATGAAATCACTAGCTAAATGTTACCCCTTGCAAAGATCATCCCCATCTTCTAGGCTGACAAGTGATGCATTGCATGTGCACCACTTATCACAACCTACGAGTTTTTCTTTTTCTTTAGTATATTTATTTATTCAAAACATTTGATCTCTTGAACCGTGGTCCAAATCCCGAACCATTTTCATCATTGAATTTATCGGGTCAAGACTTCGAAACTAGAACGCATGTTAATAGGTTTTGGCAAACTTTTTCAATTAGCACACTTCTCACGGAAGCAAGTCTATGCTTCCACAAGAAGCAAACATGTGTTTCTTGTGGAAGCACATATTTCCCCCTTAAAAGCACACTTTTCACGGAAGCAAGTCTATTCTTCCACAAGAAGCAAATTTATGCTTCTTGTGAAAGCACATTTTTTCCTTGAGCTGTGCGTGCTTCTCATGGAAGCACGTATTTTCTTTTCTTTACGAGAAGCACAAAGTAATTGTAATTTGCAAATTGTATTGTTGCCATGTGAGCTGTGCGTGCTTCTCATGGAAGCACGTATTTTCTTTTCTTTACGAGAAGCACATATTTCTTTTTCAATTAGCACACTTCTCATGGAAGCACATATTTTCTTTTCTCATGGAAGCACATATTTACTTTTTGTTTTTCAAGAAGCACATTTGTAATTCGCAAAAATAATCTCCAAAACCTAGGAAAAACGAGGCGAAAATCAAAACCCCAAAAAAATTGAAATCCCGAAAACGCATAGAGAAAATAAAAAACCGAAATCTAGAAGAAGCGTCTAGGGCGCGCGCGCACACACACGTGCTGGTGATATGTCACCATCGTATCTATTTTTTCAAACACTTCTGCTCTTGTTTTTCCCTCTAATTATCATGATTTGGGTGAAACTAACTCGAGCTGATGTTTGATACGTCTCCAACATATCTATAATTTTTTATCGTTCCATGCTATTATACTATATGTTTTGGATGTTTTATATGCATTAATATGCAATTTTATATTATTTTTGGGACTAACCTATTAACCGGGAGCCCAATGCCAGTTTCTGTTTTTTTTGCATGTTTTAGAGTTTCGCAGAAAAGGAATACCAAACGGAATGAAACTTTCGCGATGATCTTTCTTGGACCAGAAGCAAACCAGGAGACTTGGAGATGAAGTCGAAGACGCAACGAGGCGGCCACGAGGGTGGAGGGCGCGCCCAGGGGGTAGGGTGCGCCCCTGCCTCGTGGGTCTCCTGACCTAGTTCCTTCGCCTACATATACTCTTATACCCCAAAAACTTCCAGGAGAGCCACGAAACCACTTTTCCACCGCCGCAACCTTCTATACTCATGAGATCCCATCTAGGGGCCTTTTCCGGTGTCCTGTCGGAGGGGGATTCGATCATGGAGGGCTTCTACATCAACACCATTACCCTTCTGATGAAGCGTGAGTAGTTTACCACAGACCTACGGGTCCATAGCTAGTAGCTAGATGGCTTCTTCTCTCTCTTTGATTCTCAATACCATGTTCTCCTCGATGTTCTTGGAGATCTATTTGATGTAATACTCTTTTGCGGTGTGTTTGTCGAGATCCGATGAATTGTGGATTTATGATCAGATTATCTATGAATATTATTTGAGTCTTCTCTGAATTCTTATACGCATGATTTGATATCTTTGCAAGTCTCTTCGAATTATCAGTTTAGTTTGGCCTACTAGATTGGTTTTTCTTGCAATGAGAGAAGTGCTTAGATTTGGGTTCAATCTTGCCGTGTCTTTTCCTAGTGAAAGTAGGGGCAGCAAGGCACATATGGTATTGTTGCCATCGAGGATAAGAAGATGGGGTTTTCATCATATTGCTTGAGTTAATTCCTCTACATCATGTCATCTTACTTAATGCGTTACTCCGTTCTTTATGAACTTAATACTCTAGATGTATGCTGGATAGCGGTCGATGTGTGGAGTAATAGTAGTAGATGCAGAATCGTTTCGGTCTACTTGACACGGACGTGATGCCTATGTCGGGTGGTTGGTGCAACATATGCCAAAGGATGGCTAATCATTGTGGGAGCTAGTAAGACGTCGCTGGTGCCTGGAAACGGGATAAGGCGTAAACATGCACTCCGACGCATCTTACCCAGGTTCGGGGCTCTCCTAGGAGATAACACCCCTAGTCCTGCTCTGCGGGGTCTCCGCATGATCACTAGATCAACAAAGGCTACAAGGTTGCTCCTTGAACAGTTTGGCTAGAGGAGGAAGAAAGGCAAGGCTAGCTCTGCTCCTCTCTCTACGTGGATTGTGTAATCTAAAGGGTTGAACCCTTTGCATTGGTGTCCTGGGGGGTTTATATAGGCCTGCCCCCCATGGTACAATGGTAATCCGGCCGGGTGTAGGCCCAGACCGTCAGTGTCTATGGTCGCTAGCTTCTCCGCCGACTAATGGGACCCACCGCCTGGTGGGTTCCGCCGGCTGCTGGGCTCTTGGCCGACAGGTTGGACCCACCGCCCGTGGGCCCTGTCGGCTGCTCGTTACTATAGCCCTCCCTATGATGACGATGGCTTGGTCGGGGAGAGCGTGGCTATAGTACCACCGCCTAGTGGGCATTCACTGTAGCCACACCTCGTCTTATTTGGTTAATGGTGCAAAAACTTCTAGGGAAGGGGAGGGGCGGCTGTTGGGAGTCGGCCTCCCCCTATGCCGACTGGTCCAGGCATGCCGTCTTCTGGTATCTCACAGACAGGTAGGGCCGGCCGCCTGCGGGCCATACCGACAGCCCATCATGGGAGCATGGCTCCTCTGCCGTGGGTGATGTCATGGTCAATGTGGCAACAGTGCCGCGCCGGTCTAGGGATGGCCGCCCAGTACGCTGCACTGTGGCCACGCCTGTCGGGGAAACTGATCCACGAACACCTATGGGACCGGCGGACCGAGCCCCTTTCGGTTCGGCGGGGGGCGGAGGTCGCACGAAGAGCAGATCGAGGCGAAGCACACGAGCAGTTTACCCAGCTTCGGAGCTCTCCGGAGAGATAATACTCCTACTGCTGCTTGTCTGATTGTATTGTGTTCTTGCTCGAGAGCGCTGAGTGCTACAGTACACACGAGCTGCTAACGAGACCGAGCGTGATTGTGTTTTTGGCTTCCGAACTGAGCCGAACCCCCTTTTATGTTGCGCATGGGCCTCCTTTTATATGCTCAAGGGGTCACCGACAGGTGGCAACGCAAACAAGGGTAAAAATGTAAAAAGAGAGGTGGTTGGTACAGCTACCTGTACAGTGTATCCTACCTAACCCT